ATAGCAGGCTGGCTGCAACCCTTGCTCTTTGGCTAGGATGCAGAGCAACCAGGCAAGATCTTGCCTTCGCTTGGGGCCTTGCCTTGCTCAAGGCCTGCTATAGTGACAGTGCTTGTCTGCTCCCCACATTTCGTCCGCTCCCCACAGTCCCACACTTGCCTCTCACCTATGTTCACCTCCAACTGCAAGGAAATTTGTTTCTCTTTTCCATAGTCTTGGCTCTTTCCAGAACAACATTTTATGTTCTCTTCAGGGACAGCCACTGGGAGGCATCAGGAGTACAGAACCTGAACTCAGGCTGAAGGCCACAGTCCTCTTCTTTCATTACTTAGGAATGTTGCTCCCCAAGAGTGTTCGCTTCTGCACAGCAACTTCAGATTCCAGAGTTAGGCTGAATCAGTACCTGGAGAGAATTTTTTATATTGTGCCATCTCATCCTCCTCCACCTACTTTCTGGATCTTGGCTATCCTGACCTAAAAGGATTCCAGATCTGAAACCCTTCTGAGGACCATTAAGGACTCCAGAGATTCTTAAATATTTCAGAGAATTAGAGGAAACTTGAAAATGAAGCACACATTTTTTTTTTTTGATTTGGAGTCTCACTCGGTTGCCCAGACTGGAGTACAGTGGCCGCTCCCAGCCACCGCAGCCTCACCTGCTGGGCTCCGGCGATCCTTCCGCCTCAGCCTTCCGAGTAGCTGGAACTACAGGCGGGCGCTACCATGCCTGGCTGATTTTTTGATTTATTGTAGAGATGAGGTCTCGCTGCCCAGGTGGGTCTCGAACCCGCGGGCTCAGGCAATCCACTCACCTCAGTCTCCCAAAGGCGCGGGATTACAGGCTGAGCCACCGAGCCCGGCTTGAAGCACACATTTTTTTTTACAGTTTTCAACATCACTAGTAACTGGTTCTGCAGTCTCTCCACTGCCCTTACAATTGTCAAATGGTTGGAAAAAGTTTTGTGGAGGTATTAAATTCAATGGTTTATGGCCAAAGCCAGCCAGGTTTTTTAAAAATCCATTTTTCCTAACTAGATTTTGAGTTCTAAAAGAAAATATCCAAATATTTTGAAAATATTTTTCATTTCTCATGTAAGTAAGCAGAGAGGGGCTGAAAACAGTTCAAATTATTCCTTTTACAAATCAACCTGCAAGCTCCAAACCTGCTAGACATGGGACGTGAGAAAACCTAATAGCCACAAGGCACTTTCCTGGAAGTGCAAGATAACAATCAATTCACAGCCTTACCTCCACATCCTCTCTTTGTGAAGTTATCGGTTTACAACCCCTGCTTGTCATGTATACTCACCTGGAGACAATTTATTCTTTGAAAATCTGGTTTTACTAAATACAACCTTGCAAACTACCCCCCCAAAAATGTATAGCCATACAACCTGACCCCATCCCTTAGCTAAACTAACAGATAAAACCTCTCTCCTCTTTCTCTGGGTTGCTCAGCCTTGGAGCATTAGCCCACTGAGTCACGGCCGGCACTAATAAAAATGTTACTTCCTAAGATAGCCTCGGTATCAGGGTCTCTCTGCTTTCCTGCAACGAGTGTACCACTTATAAATTTTAGAATCTTAAGAATAATTTTCCTGATGGTTTCTGGCTTATCTATCAAGTTTTATGTTGCTTTATTAAAATTCAGTGAGGGATCTATTTAAGTACGCACCACAATTGTGATCCCCATAATGCTTGACATTACTCACTGATATTTAAATTTCCTGTACTTTTAAAGTATCTATTGTGGAGAAACATGAGACCTGATTAGGTCAACATCAGCTGGGGAAATTGGGTAAACTATTTTGAGAAGGAAATCTCAGAATGAGAGTTCAAGAATTGTAAAAGCTGAATAGCCCACTGAAAAACATTTGCTGCAGCCAACAAAGAAAGTAGTCAACAGCAGTCTCCTGGTTCCATGATAAACAAAAAAACAGTCAGCTACTGCTGTTTAAAAGGCAAAAGCCTACAATCATGGAGCAGCTGCTTTTCAAATTCCCCACAATGTATGTAGTCAATTTATAAATTCTTCTCCATGCCCCTCAGGCAATCATTTTCCCCCAAACTGAATCCCAAGACAATAGAATAAATGCTTCTATCTATCCAGCCCCTGCCTCTTTGCAGGCAGCAAACACTCTCACTATTGTCCTGCCCGTTGTGCCCTTCACAGTGTATCTTCCCTTTAATAAATCTACCTTTTTAACTCATAACTGTCTTGGTGAATACTTTCACCCCACGACTCTGGTCACACTCAACCTGCCACACACAGCACCTGCTTCAAATAATTTGTGAAAAGGAAAAGATTCCTCATTTAGTCTTCTTTCTTTAATATCTTATTTTCTGACATTTACATCCATTATAAAATAATGAATTTTAATTATAAAACTGTGTGGGTAGATAGGGCTTTAAGTAGGACCTTTGTATATCTAGTTAGGAGTGGTTTTATTATGATTTTTTGGTTTTGTTATGCTTTTTTACTTTTATGTGTTTTCAGATTTTAACAGTGAGCATGAATTACTTTTATAAACAGAAATGTATGTGCATTTGTTGTAGAGAGAGAGAGAAAATTCTTTGAGAAGCAAGGATTCTTTTTATGTAGGGCTAGAAGGAGGTAATTTTGGTTATATCAGAACAGTCATTTAGAAAAGACTTTAAAACTTAAGTTCTCTGTAATTAAATAAGGCTAAATATAGAAACCATTTAAACTTAAAAGTGTATCCTCCCCTATTGCCCATAACTCTTCTTTTCCTCTCCTAGCACAGCTTTGCCTGTTCAAACAAAGAAAAGGGCAATGATCTTCACAATTCCATGATGGATATCATGGCTTGAAGTAACAGTGGGGAAATGATGAAGAAACCCAGTACTACTAATTCATGACAACGTTTGGTTGCTTAGGGTAACTGCCCTGTGTACATCCTCATTCCTTGGAATTATAAGACTGTACTGACCCTCCCTGGAACAGAATGAGTTATAGTCACATAGATTGTTATTCACATAAAATAGATTGTTATTCATTTCATGATCAATAGTTAAAAGTTAGAAATACAATTATTTTAATCTTGAAACCATAACTAGTATACTCTTTTGTTTTGTTGTACCCATTGTCCAATGAAGTATTACAATGAATAATATTTTACTTTGTAATAAGCTCCATTTATTCTTTTGCTTAGGATTACTAATAAAGGAAAATTACAGGTTCCTTGTGTGAGAAATAAGAATGGTAATTTATTTTCAAATTGGAACCTAGCTTATCTTGGGTTCTCAAGATGGTGTCTAAATGCTTTGTGCTTCTCTTTTGTTGATTCACTTCCTGTTTCTTTGTGCTTCTTTTTTGTGGGCTTTTTACTTTGGCAGGCTTCATGTTTAAACTTTTGGTGGAATCCAATCAGAATGGTAATTCTGTAAGCCAATCAGCAAATAGGACACGCAAATGAAATAATTTTGTAAGTCAATCAAAATATGTCATGTAGGCATTGTACTGAAAAGCCTGTAACTTCTGTAGAACTCCGCCAATGAGAAACAAGGAGAGGAATCTGCATTTTAAGGATAAAAGTACTGGTCTTCCTGCTTCAGTGTGCCTGCCTACCCACCAGACACCCAATCTTGTAAGACCGTCATTAAAGTCTCACTTCTGCTGCACTCCATGTCTCTGTGTCTATTCTTTGATTTTGGACAAGTGAGTTTGTTTCTCACACTGGTAATGGGTACCAAGATATGCAAACAATGAGTGTTACTGAAAAAACACAGTTGTAACTGGAATCTTGAATGTTTTGTAAGTTGCATAGTTTGATGTTAATCAATCGCAAACTCCAATGTTATGCTTATAAATACTGATTGTAAAGTCCAAGGAGTTGAGCTGGCCTTCGTATCTATACTGGCTTGTCTCCCTGCATCCAAATTCAGGAATAAACTTTCTTCCCAGTTCCTTCCCTCTTGACTTTCATTGGCAGCTTGAGAAAGCAGCCATGAGTTCCATGGTCTCTTTCAGGACCAAGAGACCTGAATGGGAGGGTGGAGAGGAGCCTGACATCAAGTGATCTGTCTCCATGGTCCTGACACCAAAAAGTCTGTTTCCATGGTCACAGCAGCTCTTAGCAGCCAGTCCCACCCAGTGCTTTTGGATGAGCCAAGGACAGGTCTAGAGCACTTCTGAGAAAAACAAAATACTGATGAACAAGAGAAGGAGGTCAAGAAAGCAGGAATAAAATGGGAGAGGGAGAGGAGGTATGACTCCAGACACAGTATGCAACTGGGAAAATACAACACAGAGTCAGGCTACTGCAGAATATTTTTTAATTTGAGTCAGTGATCAGAATGAGTTAAAACCCAAGGAAACTCAGGGTGAGGAGAAAGTCTATCATTCAGAAAAAGGGGCATCCCTGTCCAGGTGCCATGACCTGAATGCACTAAGGTACAGGCACCAAGAAAGGCTCTGGTGGGGTCTGACCCAGAGGGGTTTTGTGACCCACCATCATGAAGATGACCCTCCCTTTATGTGAACTGAGTTTTCTGCTCTCACTCAGCCTTCAGAAGTCCTATAAGAGAACTATGGGATGGCAGGCAAATAAGGGAGGATTAGTTAGAGAAAGGAAGAGTTTAATAATACATGTGATCTTAGAGGAGACTATAAAAGGCACCTAGAGAGGCTTGCTGCCAGTTCCTGCTTTCTTTTAACCTTCAGGACAGAAAACAGATGTCAAAGTTTCTGAGGATTGCTTTTATAGGGACATTGGGTAGTCTAAACCATTTACCATAAAATATAATTTTTTAATAGATTGAAAAACTCTCTGATGCTGTCTTGAAATTTTATCAAACACACACACAAACACATACATATACACATGCATACACATGCAAATACACATCCACATATTCAGGAACACACAACTTCACACAGAGACTTGGTATGAAGTAATATGGAGAAAAATGGATTCTTTGTTAGACATGTCCTTCAGGTGGGAAGCAGGGTGGGTTTTTTTCTGCCAGTCACTCCCTTCCTACTTGGTACTGAACTGCTTTAGGTAATCTAAGATGTCTGACTTGACTGTGCTTACTGGAGCCCGGTGGAACCAACGCTTGACAGGGACTCCATTGGGCCCCACCAAGAACTTCTCAAAGTTCCAGCGGATGTCATGGACCTTCATGGGCTCCCAGAAGAGTTGGCTTGATGATCCCAAAAGATCAGAGGTTGGAGGGCAGGAGTTCTGGAGAAGAGATATAAAAAGTAGAAGGATAAGTTTGAGTCTACTTCTTTGTTATCCAGTTTTATCCTTATTCCCAGAGAGTCTAATTCACCATTATATGTCTTAATATATTAACTACTTAACATGCTTCCAATCAACTAGACACTGTAATATATTATCACCAATATCTCAACTACCAAACAACCAGAAGTTAGAGAGTATAATAGTCAATAGAAAGCCTTCTTCCTTTCCCCGTCTCTCCTCCATTTCCATGATTTTATTATGGTGCTTCAGTAAAAGAATATCTTCTATTTTCTGGGGCAAGTCATATCATTTCTAGAGATTCAGTTTCCTAAGCCAAAGAATAATAGGTTGATTTAGAGTAGTGGTTCCCAGAGTTTGGAGTTGTGAAGCCAGTAAAAGTTCAATACCTACTTTTTGGAGATGTATGTGGAATACCTAATATTCATTTTGACAAAAAGAAAAATTAAAAGTCTACTATAGCCATATATTCCAAAATTAAAGGATTTTCAAATATTATGTTGAACCACAGAAAGTTGATTAAAGCACCATTTCTTAGCATCAAAAAAGTAGATTTATATGGTCAAACCTAATAGTAATTTAATATCAAAATAAATGTTGGTCTTATCTTCAACAAATTGATCTTTATGAAAAACTCCCCACATCTTTTTTTGTGGTTTTTTTTCCCAGTTTTCTATTGATGGGTAAAAATTCAAACCAAGACCAGCCTTCTTCTGCAGAACAACAGCATTTGGGGATGAGTAGATTAAAAGATCCTTGGGAGCCGGGCATGGTGACTCACACCTGTGATCTCAGCAATTTGGTAGGCAGAGGTGAGAGGATTGCCTGAGTCCATGGTTTCGAGACTAGCCTGGGCAACTTGTCAAGACCTCATCTCTATAGTAAATCAAAAAGTAGTTGGGCATGGTAGCAAACACCTGTAGTTCCAGCTACTTGGAAAACTGAGGAAGAAGAAACACCTGAACCCAGCAGGTCAAGGCTGCGGTGGCCGTGAGCATGCCACTGCACTCCAGCCAGGGTGAGAGTGAGACTCCAACTCAAAAAAAATAAAAATAAAAAAGAGATGAGATCCTTGGCCGGGGGGGGGGGGGGCT